TTTATTTACAAAAATCTTATTTTTTATATCAAAATTTAAAAATGGTTAAAATCAAGTAGATCTATAAACATACGAAAATCTTGAAAATGGACAGTGTAGATAATATGATGTAAAATGCACTATTTATGAGACCGAATTTTTTTTTTGTTTTTTATGGTCATACATCTCGACAATCTCGATGTCGAGACGATCAATCAAAACGTTTCCACATTAAAACTATATTTTCCGATGATTTTTAAGGTGCATCTGTAGCTATAGAGGTAAGGTTGCAACCTTATATAAACTTTTTCCATTATCTAATACATCTATTTTGCCTTAAAATTAAGTGCTATGGATCTACAAAATTTGGGCCACTTTTTAAACTTCAAATTTCATATTCCGTGTTGAAAATTCCTTATAAAAATATCATGAAAATTTCCGATGCCCAAAGCACTATCCGGAAGGGGATTCTAGGTGAAGTTTTACTTTGATTTCATGAAGCAAGGTTCTTGTAGAAAGCGTACTTCACATATTTTATTAGTAAATATAGTTGATTAGATCTAGAGCAAAATGATATATCAATATTTTTGTAGTCATTAAAAAAACTTTCATGAACATATATAATGGGTATAATGGATCAGATCGACCCTACCCAAATTTTCTCTCTCTAACCCGCTTTCTTCACTTGGGTAATATTTCTCTCTAACATTTATCCAATGTTTCTCACTCATCTGCTTTCTTGATTTATGGATTCTCTCTCTCATCAGCTTTCTTCATTTGTGTAATATTTCTTTCCCCCATCATCTTTAAAAAACTTATTTCATTATTTAATCTCCCTCTCGCTCGCTCTCTCATTGCTTTCTAACTCTGCTTTCATATTTTGATTTCTCTCTCATCTGCCTTCTAACTATTTTTGCGTAACTTAATCTCTCTCTCTAATATGCTGCTTTGATAATTTAAATTTTTTTTTAAATTAATCATGAATATTGCGTTCTGATTATGTTTTTTACTGAAGAATATGGAAGTTTTTATATTTTTTAGTTGGGATTTGGTGTTCTTTTTCTCTCTTTATTTAGAGGATTTTAGAGTTTAGGATTTTATATATGTTTTTCTTTATCTAGGGTATTTTAGAGTTCAGGGTTCTATGACTGTTTTTGTGGGTTATTGGTTTTATTTTTTCTGATATTTTTTACTGTAAAATACAGGTGAAAATATGAATAAAAGAATCAATTTGGGTTCAATGAATCTTTTAGCAATTAAAAGAAATAGTAAATTTACTGATCAATTTGGGTTCAATGCATTTTTTTCTGATATTTAAGGAGTTTGGATTCATTTAATCTGATTATTTGGTTTATTTAATTTGTATATTGGAAGCTTGCAAACATGTTTATTCAATTAAATTTCTTACATTTTGGTTCATATTAAACACAGTGAATCTAAAGAGCATATAGAACCTTCTGTAACAATGAACAATACCTCATTTTCTTTTTTCATTTATTCCTGTCATTTTGGATTGAGTTTTCACAGAGAGATGGAGGGAGTCTACTTCGATGCGAAGTTTCCTTGAAGAAATAGCGCGAACCTAAAATTTCGGGAAATTTCGTATCGGATCTTGCCCCTTCGACGTCTGGTATGGTCTTTCCGCTTTCTCACTGAAACGAAACCCCGAAACTCAATCAAATTGCCGAAATTTCGGTCCGCAGATTCGGCCCCGAATCACGTTCACGCTTGTCGAAAGCATGTAAATCGCCCTTCAAAAGCCAGTTACTTCCAAGCTCTCTTCCTGGTTAACAATGGCGACTGAAAATCCCGAAAATTTTGGGGTGAATTTCTTGAAAATGCTGCGGATTAGAAGAAGAAAAGAAGGTATTGTTTGCCCTTATTTCATAAAAAAATAGTTTGAGTTTGTTTTTTAAATGTTTGTTGGTTGAGATTATTGCTATAATTTATTGGATCAAGGCAATTTTCATGGTTTCAGTGCCTCTCACTGTGGAGCTTTCTAAGCCAGTAACAAACCCTATATATCAAGGGGTTCCTCCTCCAAGATCGAGCGAGGTCATATTTAAGTAAATTGTTAGAAATTCAATAAATGATAATCAATAAATTTTTATATTTTGATTTTTGGGGGGTTTTTGTTGTTTTTTTTCCTTGTGTTACAGGCCATGGAGTCGTGCCCTAAAAGAGATGGATACGTGAAAGATGATTTTGCAGAGGAAAATCTCTATCTCTATACAGAGGCAAGCTCATGTTTATTAATTATTATTATTATTATTTTTAATATTTATTATTCATTATTGTTCTGATATATTTGAAATGCCTTTGATCTCATTGGATCAAAGGGTTTTTCCCTTCTGTTTCTTCGAAACTGAACCAAGGGCAGACTGGTTAGTTTCTGGGAGGGGGTGGGGGCATAATTGACATTTTTTGAGGGGAAGCTAATAGTTCGCTGCAAAACTTCGTCCTAGCACCACCACTTGGGGCTTATCTTGGGCCATTTTGTCGGCATTTCTTCGTGGCATCGGTGAATCGAAGAAATAAGTCGATTGTAGGTGGTTTTGTGGTAGGAAATTCTCTTGTTTGAGCTTTCCTTGATATGTATGAGGTAACTCTACATAACCCCAATATAGTAAGTTTCCCTCTTGATAGGGAATACATCTTTGCCATCTTGCCCGTGGACGTAGCCCATCTTGGGTGAACCACATATATGTGCGTGTCCCCTCTCTACTTTCATTTGTGTTGTACTTTGATGATTTCCCATATTGCTTGTTTTATTGTTTTTATATTTTTCACAATTATATTGTACTTGTTATTGCATATTGGGCATGTTATTTGAGTGTTGAAATCATTGTGGTGTAGTGCTCACCACATCTAGTGGGATTTGAGATATCCTGATTTGCTCCAAAGGAGTGATTGGGTTATCCCGATTTTACAACATTAGGGACCCTATAGGATACTACACATAGTACAACAGTTGTGCACTAAATCTGATCTCCACCATCTCGTTTCAAAAATGATGGTAGAGATGGATATAATTTCATTTATGTGATTCACAATAAACAAATGATATAATAAGTGTATTATTGGACAATAAGGACGAGTCTCAAAATTTTGAGTTTGACAGTGTTTTGAACCTCAAGCTCGCCCTGAGAGGCAGTGTCCCTGGCGAGTAGGCTCAGTGAATCCCTGGTCGACTCATTGAGTCTCCTCTTTGGAAAAATGTACTTTTTGAGGAATATTCGCTTGATTTGTGAGAGACTTAGATGCAAACAGACTCAGTTTAGACTTGCGCAGAACTTTGACCAGACTAGGATGAGCTAAGGCTGGCTCATCTGGAAACAGTACACTGGTTAAAAAAGTTTAAGTGGTTTATGCAACAAGTGGGATAAGTGATACAACTTGGTTTTTGATGTTAAAGAACTTGATGTGACTTTCTTTCGCATGTCAAAGAAAAACTCATCCCTTTGTAAGAGCCAACTTGACCTAGGCAAGCTGAGTTAGTAGTTAAAGCTTTATGTTTCACATAATGGAACAAATTAGAGGGTACAGATCAGAGGTGTTGGATTCAACACATTGTGTTTCTGAAATTGGGAGATTATTAAAGGTTAGATACAGTTTCCTAAAGATTTTCTATACTTGAGGATTCAGTATGCTGTCTATTTGATAAATGGTGTATCTTCACTTGCATTGTAAAACATTTATCAAAAAGATGTTTGACCAAGTATCTTAATATTTTGAGTGTTTCTTGTGTTTGTCATGTGTTTGTACCAAAGTACCATCATATGATTATGGAGAAGGGGAGAAGATGCATCTTAGATGGAATCGTGGAAATGTTTTGATCTTATTATCGATAAAATGCCATTCAAGATGTGTCACGTTCGAGAAAGCTTTATTGTGTTGGTCTGGTGATGACAATGCATTACTAGGGAGTCCAAATAAAATTTTACCATTGAAATCAACAGTTTGACATATCCGTGAAAGGCTGAGGTTTTTTTTATGTGGATTAGAGGGAACTTATGCAATGAAGTGAAACTCTGTGCTGCATCTTGGATGCAGGCACGCAAGTGGCAAAGTGAGTATGATTTTCAAACTTCACCAATCCCACGAGACATGAATAGAAGCTTGATGAGAGATAGTGAGTTGCACTGATTTGGGGAATTTTTGTCAAAACCAAAATATGTCAATGTGGGTGTTCTGGAACTTGACTATGGGCTGTCAAATCAATGTGGGAAAAGTTTCATTTGGTTTGCATTTACCCATTGTGAAATGGGAAAGAACAACACTATATATCATGAGGAATGTATCTCACTTTAGAGTAGTATTACCACCGGGAGCCCATGTAGAACAGAAGAGATGAATTCTATTTCTGAGGGCATTGTCGCTGTGGGGAATGTGAATTGCATGCATGCAAATATCATATATAGGGTGTGGGGCTTACATTGCATAGCGGAAGCTACATCCCACCACCAATTTTTTGTGTTCACAAATTTTCTCTCATGTTTGCTGCATGATTTTACAGGAGTTACAGAGCTATGCTTTATTTCCATTTATTAAGACATCCCCACTTAGGCCTGGGGTTTATATATTTTGAAGGAGTTTCTTTCTCTTAAAAGAGTTTTACAATTTCACTTGCTAATTTCATTGTATAGTAATGAAAGTTGTATTTGGGCATGGTAGACAGTTCACATGACAATCTTGGTGGAGACCTTTTCTTATTATTAAACATTGAATGTACAACTAATGTAGTACTTAATCACTTTTTAAGTGATCCAGTGCTTTATTTAAATAACTGAATCAGTATGTAGCCTTTTTTTTTCACTCTTTTATCCAATTCTTGTCTTGGTTAGGCGAAGCTTGCAATTTGATATTGAAATCTTGCAATTGATATCAGTTGGTTTCTCTTGTTTTATCCTGATCCATGTTCATTGAGTTTGTCCTTTTTTAAACAGGAAGGTGAGCAAGGACGCTTGCCAGTGTTGATTCTCAGCCTGAGGGAGAGAAATCAATGTAGAAGGCCTGCAGTTGTAATTTTGCATAGCTCCTATAAATGCAAGGAATGGATACGGCCATTACTTGAGGTGACAACATTAATTAGGTAAAATTTGATTTTACTTTAATTAGCATTTTCATGATACTGATTCTCTTTTGTGTTTCCAGGCTTATGCTTCACGAGGATATGTAGCAGTTTCGGTCGATTCCCGCTATCATGGTGAACGAGCAAATAGTGCGACAGCTTATCGAGATGTACCTAATATTTTGCATCACTCCATCTTAAAATTTAAATAAACTAAAAAGGGCATGCTAGTGATGCTACTATTTTCCAGTATGGTCTCATTCTGAAAATGGGCACCCATTTGTGAAACAATTAAGAAAGGTTATGTGGAGAATATACTATAATCCATTGCTGCATTATGTAGAAATCATTGTCTATTAAGTCATCTCAATCCAATGAAATGATTGAAAGTGATGGAGAGAGGGTGAGAACCCACCATTGGGACCATGCCTTCGTCTGGTGGTCCCAACTTTCTCTTTGCATTGGATGGTGACAACCCAGGGGACAATGTATTTTCAATGCACAGTGGATTTTAAGATGTTTTCCTGTAGTGTTTTGGAGCAAGGACTAGGGTTTTGGGATTTGCTGGGGTCCCAAGCCTGAATCAGGCAACTCAACTCAGCCACGCCTGTCAAAGACGAGGACCGAGTCTTAAAAGCAATAACCCTAAAACCTTGGGATCTGGCAAGACTTGGCTAATACCCAAGGTTTTTCTTTCGGGCTCGACAGCCTGCTGAGTCCGAGTAACCCAGGCTAGACTAAGTCAAACTCGGTGAGTTTTGGAATGCTGTTTTCTGTAGTTGTGTGTATCTAATAAACTAGTGATCTGGGGAGGACTTAGAAATTCTTCATTCTGGGTGTACAGGCGCTCGTGTCAGCATTGAAGAATGGTGATACAATGCCTTTCATTTATGACACGGTATTCTGCCTCTTTTCATGTTATGCCTAGGATATTGCAGCAGCTTGTTTGTATTTTATGCAATTGCTTAAATATATATCATGGTTAGAGAACTTAGGACTTGAGCTCAGCTTGGACCTACCTATCGGTCCATTAACCTCGTGACCCAACTGTGCGTGATCGAGGCGGTGTATGTATGCGAGTATATATACGCGGAGAGGGAGATAACAATTGAATTAGTAGTTGACCTATTTCATATAAGAGTTCATAGGTCGCTTCTACAAGAAGTGGGGCCAAGGTCCATTGTAGAGCTACAATTCTTTTGTCAAAGCAGACTGTCCTTTAGTATTCAGATATGCTATATATCATATTGTACAGAGGAAAGTAATATATTAGGGGATTCCTCACCGTAACAATGATTTTTTGTGAGAACTAAATGTATATATGAACAAATGATATTGCCAACTTACGTTTTAGTTTAGAACAGCAAGAAAACAAAATGCAGTTAGCAAAATCATGAGTGGAAAAAGCAATCACATCCCACTCTACAATTCAAAATTTTAAATACGCTACAATTGACACCTTATGGTAGTTAATGACTCAGTACTCTGAAGATATAGAAAGTAATAGAGCAATCAAGAGGCATTAATTTAGGAAAAGAATATTACACATCCCATAGGAGAAAACATGAGTATTAATTGGCCTAGAACGTTACCGGGTTCACAAGCTCACATGGTGGTTCTTGTCAACCTGGTCAAGTTCCTGGTTGACTCAGAAAGTTTTTAAACCATGAAATGTTTAGTGGGCACTTGTATGTTATTTAGATTGTTGTGCATGTTAAACATATCATCGGTACGTATCCATGCCTCAATCGTGTGATGGTGGGTTAATTCTTATGATTGTGGTCAATTGCACCCTTTATCAATATCATCTTCTGTATTTCAATTTGATTCCTTTAATGTCTTGTGTATACAAAAGGGATACATTTGGCAACTGCAAATTTGCATTATGTGACAGGTGTGGGACTTGATAAAATTGGCTGATTATCTTACTGGGAGAAAAGATGTTGATCCTTCAAGAATAGGGATAACTGGTGAATCACTAGGAGGTATAGTAATTTTCTTGTATACTTAAATCAATCTAAAAAATCATCATGTCTTTCTTCAGTCTAAGGGTATAACATGAATGGCTTAAAATCTGATTTAGTGGGCTTGTATCAGCCAGTTTTCTGGTTTCTAAGCCGATCCCAAATAATTGGGAAAAGGCTTGGATGTGATGATGATCAGTTTTCTAGTTTCTGAGGACTGGTGGTTTTGGCTTTTTAAGGAACAATTCTAACATGAATTGGAAAAAAGTCAGTGGCCCATTTGATTTCAGAAAAGCATGGTCTGGTGGGCTATGAAAAACCGTAGTCCAGTGGGGTTGTCACTGCCATGTGAAATGGCAACCGGTGATGGGGAGAAGTGTGACCCATTCTAAATCACACTTAATCAGGTCATCAATGTCTGATCAAATGGGCGGTGATGGCGAGAGAGTAGGACCCACCATTGGGGTCATGTCCTGTTCTTGTAGGTCTCACTCTATCTTCATCACCTCCATCATTTTAGTGGATGGTAAGGACCCAAATCGACAATGATTTTTCATTGTCCATTTCCTTGTTGAATATTTACAATTCATATTATTTTCTTTTTCTTTTTTCTTTGCAGGCATGCATGCATGGTTTGCAGCTGCCGCAGATACTCGTTATGCAGTAGGTGTCCCCATAATTGGTGTACAGGTGGAACATGGAATATTTCTGGAGTTTTTGACATTCATTTTAGTTAAAGTATAGTGAAATCCAATGAACCTTAGAAGATCATAATTCATTGGAGTCATCACCATAAAATGATGGATGGTGATGGAGAGTGGAGTGGGGCCCGTCAGAATGGGATATGACCATGATGATACCCTAGTGGCTGGTTTCTTTAGCCCATTAAGTTATAGTAGTCTTTTTCTTATTGAGTGCTTTATATGTTTTCAATCTCAAAATGCTTTAATATGTGCTATCGAAGTTAAACTTCCAATCCTATGTAGGGATTTCGATGGGCCGTAGAAAATGGTAGATGGCATGCTCGAGTAGAAAGTATAAAAGCTGTATTTGAAGGTGAGATCAGTTCTTGGGCAGCTTCGTGTTGGCTGGATGGCACATCACATATGCATCGTAAATGCATAGCACCAAATCATCCTGATTTATGGAACTTGCCACGCTTCATGTTTTTTAGGTGGAAAAGACTAACTTACGTGATTTAGTCGATATGGTTTCTTTCTTATTTGTTACATGAAATATGGGATACAATGTATAAGGTTTCATCTATCTTCCTTTTCTTTCAGAAATTGATAGAATTCACTTAAAAAAAGTCTGGACTATCCTAAGTTACCAAAGATAACAGAAAGTTCTAGTTGGAAGCACCCCATAAGTGACCGCCCTCTCACATTTGCAGAAGCAAATGAGCATATGTTTATGTAAAATGTCAGTTCTTTTTCTTATTATCTAATAATTTCAGTCTCTTCCTTTTGGGTACAATGTTGATCTAACTGCTACATAATTCTGTTAGAAACTCAAAGTGAAAAATTGAACATAGATGATTGTGCTTGCTTGAGAAATAGTTTTCTTGCTTATGCGTATAAATGTCATAATTTGTGAAGCATGCATATTTTAAGTACAAGGAAAAAAGAAAAATCCATTTCTTTGTTTATGATGAAGAGGGATCATTATTCTTTTGTGCATCTTTTCTTACTTGTCCTAATGCTTGCAGAAGCACGGACGGATCTATGTAAAAGTGAGATTGATAGCGAAATAGTGGAGAAGGTTTGCTTAGCTTTATGATTTTCTTTTCAACATGGTCAGTGGCTATAGATTATATTTTTCATTTTACATGAAAAGCCTCCAATGGCTAGAACTGAATAATTGATCTGCAAGCACACAAAAGGCAGATGCTCTTCCCACCCAAATTCTCTCTCTCTCTCTC